CCCACACTCTTCTGGCCCACATACTGCATGGAATGATGGCGAAGACTAAACCTGAGTGTGGCTGGCAATAGCATATCTGGGCCTCATCTGGGCCAACTACGGCACATTTGGCTCAGTTCTGGTAGTGGTAGAGCCAAAACTCACACTAAAACCGGCTTGATGTGTGTGGCCCAGATACGGCCCATTAGACCTTTGCTGCTGCCAGAACTGAGCCATATGTGCCATAGTTGGCCCAGATGAGGTCCAGATATGTATATCTGGGTAGGAGGTTATGGAATAAATAACTTACAGAGAACATTCTTGGGATGTTCTATTTAGGTTATTAAATAAATAGCCTGCAGGGAACGGGGAAAATTATGGGAAGGTTTTCTTTATGTTGCAAAATAAAGAACCCACAGAGAAAGTCTCCAGAACATTCCCATTTGGTTCCCAAAACAAAAAAAGATATGGGAACATTAGGGCAACGTTCTGTGTTTGCCGAGTAGGACCCAATATTAGTGGCCCCCATCCACTTTCATATAGAACAGTGCAGCGTGAACTTTATTCAAAACTTCTATTTTCAGAGTAAAGAATCACAGATGGGTTTGGAACTTGAGATAATGATGACAGTATTTAAATTTCGTTTTAGCTTTAAGGCATTAAATCACACCAATGAAGTGACAGTTCACACAATTTAAGTTGTTACATGTTTCCTTTTTTGTCTATCCTGTCATGCAGGCTTCATGTAGACAATGGCTGTTAATTTTCACTATTAGCTGTCAGATGTGCTCTGTTGTTCAGTTGATTTGTCATCTTGCCCTATCCGCTTAATTCAGCGCAAGTGCTGATAACAACATGAGAACATGGAGAAAAAGTCTCTTCACAGCTTTATAACCATATCAAGCAAATATGAAAAATACGGCCATTGTTTTGTTTTTTAACAGGTAATATCTTTTCATACCAGACCAGAACATAATCACGTAATTGAACATTTTTTTGATTGTTCGTCTTTTTGCTTGTGTCTCCAGAGTACACTATTTCTTATCAGCACTTGCGTTGAATGAGCCATGACAGGCACCTTCTTTATGCTGTGAATGTTTGCTTTGCCTTTTTTATGAATGGTTCCAATAGACATCATCATAATAACTAGATCTTTTTTTTTTTTTTTTGGACTTGTAAAATCGTTAATTTACAAGGTGAACTGTCAAATGGCCTGTCAGAAAATCCCATAAACCTAATAGGTTGAGATAAACGCTGTTTACCCACACATGCCTTTAAACAGTGCCCTTTACCTCCCCTTTAATTAGGTGTTGAAAAAATAACAAGATGTTAATGAATAGCGTTGTTCCTCGTAGCCTATGCCTAACAGAAAGTCTTTAATTATTGCTCACTCTTCCATCTTCCTTTTCCTCCAGCAAAAACCGCCAGCTGCCATGTAAGACGCAGAAAGATTTACCTCCCAATCTTCAGGAGTTTGATAAGGCAGCCTCTCACAACACTTTTTCTGCCATTTGACCCTGCGCTGGGAAATATATTAACACCGCTGTATCTACACAGGGGGATCAGGCAAGTGCTGATGCTTTAGAAATGCGGCAGGCCTGATAAGAAGCAGAGCTTCCCCACAAGGCCACAAACTTCAATGTCCAGTTGGCTTAAACTGTGTAACTTTACACTATGCGATCTGTCAAGAAAACTGGGTAACACTTTACTTGAAGGGATGTGCATAAGACTGACATGACGTCTTCATCATAACAATGACATGACATATGTCTTGAATATGAAGTAGGGTTTATGCATGTTAATGACAAATGTCATTTAGTGTCATTCACTCAATAATGACATTTTGAATGCAAATGTGACATTGTTTAAGATGTCTTTGTTATGACATCTTGACATAAACCAATACATCATAACCTGTCAGTGTCAACTTTATTTTTCGTGACCTCAACTATAGTGGTACTAATTGAATTTGTCATTAAAATGTTATAATGGCTTCATGACAGCCAATGTCAAAACCAACCACCTGACAGTTTAATGTAATGCTAACCATTAAGTTTGATAATTAATCTGCTATGTTTATGACAGGTTGAGTTGTCTTAGTAATGTCAAATTGTCATGACAAAGACACAGGCAGGTTATGATGTATTTGTTTGTCAAGGTGTCATAACAAAGACATCTCAAGTAATGTCATATTTGCATTGAAAATGTCATAACTGAGCAAATGACACTTAATGACAGTTGTCATAAACATGCATACAACTTCCTTCATATTCATAACATATGTCATGTCATGATTATGAAGATGTCATGTTAGTCTTATGCACACCCCTTCAAGTAAAGTGTTACCAAAAACTGCATAATGTATTATTTTAAATGTTGTTAAATAGCAAAAACATTTATGAAATATAATAGCCAGTATTAATCAACTGAGAAAAAAAAACCCTCGTAGTGCACAAGGCAAAAACTTTTTGTCTTAATTTTTTTCCTCCATAAATTCTACATATTCAAAGGTCAGTAAAATTGTATTTTTTAAGAAGTTAATACTTTTACTTAGCAAGGACACATTCAATTGATCAAAAGTGACAATAACAACATTTATGATGTTACAAAACATTTATATTTCAAATAAATGCTGTTCTTTTGTGCTTTTTAACTTTCCATAAATATATTAAGAAGCATAGCTGTTTTCACCATTGATAACAGTAAGAAATAAACAAAAAAAATCCACATATTATAATGGTTATATTATATAAGTTAAACAGTTATTTTAAATTGTAATAATATTTCACAATGTTAGGCTGATGACCCCTCCACCTTAACTTTTCTTTTGACCATAGATGACAAACTCTCATTTCAGCACTTTTGATGAATGTCTGTATACGCTATTTTTAATTTTGTCATTTCATCTGAATATTAACATTTGAGAACATTTAGTAAGCCGAAACCGTTTTGAGGTGAATTTATCTAACTTGTGTAGGCTATCTGAAAATTTTCAGGTTAATGTATCATAGTTATCCCAAAAATATGAATCAGCTGATCTATTAAACAACACTGTAGGCCTATTTAATCGAGCACCCATGCACGCGCACACGCGCGCACTGCTCTGCTCGTTGAGTGTTTACGGTAGCTCGCGCCTCTAGTCCTGAGTGAAACTCGTAGTTTATTCTCTCATTTCATCAGCGTGGGAACTGGGAAGACAGCTCTTTCCTTCTTTCGGAGTCGTTCCCGTACGTCACGCCAAGATTATGGGCTTTGATTTAGACCGCTTTGAGGGTCCCGTGGACCCGGACTTAATCTGTAAACTGTGTGGGAAAGTTTTAGAGGATCCTCTCAGCACTCCGTGCGGACATGTCTTCTGCGCCGCGTGCGCTCTACGGTGGTTCTCCAAAGTCAGCAGCTGTCCTGCCCTGTGCCAAAAAATCACCACTAAAGAGTTGAACCACGTCCTGCCCCTAAAAAACCTAATTCTCAAACTGGACGTCAAATGCGAGCACCGTGAACGAGGCTGCAACCGGGTAATGAAGCTCCAGCATCTTTCAGAGCACGCGGAGACGTGCGACTTCTCTCCGGTCAGATGCAGGAATGAAGGATGCGACGCGGTGCTCATCCTGAAGGATGTTGCTTCACACATGCGGGAGAGATGCGAGCACAGGGCGGTGGAGGTCTGTCAGGGTGGATGTGGACTGGCGCTGAGCCTCAAGGAGAGGTCGGATGACCACAGCTGTCTCCAAGCACTTAAGACACACAGCTGTCTCCTCCAAACCAAAGCGCTGCGTCTGGAGGAAGAGCTGAAGAGTCAGTCCCTGAGCTTCAGTAAGAGAGAGAGGTCTCTCCTGTCCAAACTCTCCGCACTCCACTGCGAGCTGCACATCACCGCGCTCACATTTCAGAAGAAAATCACCGAGTACAAGAGCAGGATTGACTCGCTGTCAAACAGATGCCTGCTGCCTCTTGAGAAGGTCAGTATCGTCATGTGGTGTGAATGGAGTGAACAACACTGTAAAAAAAGACATCTAAATCTTGAAGAAACGTTTAAATGTGTAAGTCAAATTAAAGTGGAAACATGCTGTGAAGTGTATTACCACTTTGAATTTAATCACGGATCTAAGAATAGGCTACTCTTAAAACATATGAAACTAAATTAAATGGGTGGAAACAAATGATGTGAACATTTTGACAGCGAGGCCAGGGACCCTTCAAAATGACAGAAAATTATGTCAAGGCCTGTTAATGTTTTGAGGAAAGCATGAAAAATAGTAGGCCTATTTCTTTTGAAATATAAAATATTATCTAAAGCAGAAAGCCATCTTTGGTTTTACAACATGTATGCTATTATAGTTAAAGGGATTCACTTTGAAATTCATTTTTGATAGGCCTAGGCCTATGTTTTAGCTTACCTATACATAACTATAACTAATGCTTAACTATAATGCAGGTCTATGGTCACCACCTCAAAGAGCATGCACAGAGGTCTTAATCAAAGCCCATAATTTTCCCAGAGGTGCGAGCTACCGTAAATCGTTTTTACCGCTTGTTGTATCCACAAAGCGCCTGCGCCCAGATCACTTGGACATGGCTGTGGTTACAAGAGGTAAAAACGATATAGGCCTAAATACTTTTTAAAAAGCGCTCGTTTTGTGTCTTGGGCCATCAATGTGTACTTACATATACGAGTCGTTAAATCATGTTTAATTTGGACTTCTCTGTGCATGCTCTTTGAGGTGGTGACCATAGACCTCCATTATAAATGGCTGACAGACAAGAACAGTTTGACCTAAAAATATCAAAATTGAAAATACTGCGAAAACAAAGACACCTAGATCTTGGATGCCCTTGAGGTAAGCTGAAACATACCAAAAATTAATTTCAAAGTGAACTATCCCTTTAATGGTTTTCATATAATTTCTGAAAATAAATGTAAACACAGAGGCCTACAGGTATTTCCAAACTATCTGAATGGGATAGAAATTGCAGTTAAAGGGATAGTTCACCCCAAAATGAAAATCATCCCATAATTTACTCAACCTCAAGCCATGTGTATATGACTTTCTTCTTTCAGCCAAACACAGTCAGAGTTATTAAATAATATCCTGGCTCCTCCCAGCTTTGTAATATATTGAATAGAGTTTTTGAATCTCCAAAAAGTGCATCCATCCATCATAAAATAACCCAAACAACTCCAGTGGGTTAGCAAAGGCCTTCTGAAGTGAAGTGATGGGTTTTTATGATGGATGGATGGACTTATTTGAGCTTCAAAATTCTAATTACCATTCACTCCCATTATAAATCTTGGAAGAGACAGAATATGTTTTAATATAACTCTGATTGTGTTTGGCTGAAATAAGAAAGTCATATACACCTATGGGTGGGGGTGAGTAAATTATGGGATCATTTTCATTTTTGGGTGAACTATTCCTTTAATATATTGTATAATATTAACACCTGCCTCAAGAGCTACAACAAAAACATGAAGATGTGTTTCAGATATTACAGGATGGCAAATTGGGTCCTGTATAACCAAATATTTTTCTATAGTTAGCATTAGCATACAAAAATCTACTTTTTACCTTAAAACATACTAATAACCAACCTAATTAAATTGATGGTGCAATAGAAAGCCACATGATGAATCAGTTCATCTTCAGTAGCCTGTCCATAAACCATGACCAATACTCATATATAGACGTTTAGACAGGGTGATACAAAGACTAAAGACCATTAGAATAACACACAACACTAAAATAATCTAATACAAATAACAGAAAATGCCTATGTGCATTATTAGAATAAATAAGAATAAGTTAAATAATTGACATAAATATAATTACATGTGTTGTATCACATAGAGACATCTGTTTTTTCTTCCTTTTTACGTTTGTTTTTCCTATCAAGATGTACAGTATACAGTAAGATTCTACTGAAGACTACAAAACAACTTCTGGAAGCCTCTGATTTTACATTTCAATTACTCTCCCTTCACTAAAAAGACTTCATGCCACCAAGCCAGCATTGTCGGTTCGTTTTCATGTCAGCTTAGAGCATTCACACTTGAACGATCTAGATCTGAACAAAAGAGACAAAACTCGAACATCTTCATTCTGTATTCAGATGCATAATTATGCTGTCTCTTGTCATATGCAAGCAATCTTGGCAGTGGCATTCTGAGTGGATAGTCTGTGAAACCAAAAAACTTAAGACATAAGTCTAACTGAATTGACAGGAGGCATGTCTTATGGACTTCAGGGACATAATACGTTAACAAAAGAGTCCGTTCTTGTTCTCTCGGCTCGCTGTGGTTGAGTCAGACTCTAATCAAGAGCTCATGATGTTTGTCTCACTCATTGTGACAGATTTCCGCCTGCAGCCGCTGTTTCAGCAGGGGATGTCACTGCTAGGACTGTTTGATAGACAACTCACTTAAGTTCAGATATTTTAAGACTATCTTAAGTCTGTCGTTCTTGAAAAGTCACAGGCCTTTGCCTTGACTTTCACTCGGGCACATATGCTTCATGACAGCTGATCAAACCCAGAGAGACATTTTGATGTCCGTCATAAAACTGTAAATATGGATTTAACTTAACTGTTTTTTTCCTTCTGCTTAAAGGAGTAGTTCACTTTTGCTGATAATTTACTCACCCCCATGTCATCCAAGATGTCCATGCCTTTTTTTCTTCAGTCGAAAAGAAATTAAAGTTTTTGATGAAAACATTCCAGGGTTTTCTCCATATAATGGACTTCAATGGGAACCAAACGGTTCAAGGTCCAAATGAGAGTTTCAGTGCAGCTTCAAAGGGCTTTAAACGACATCAGACAATGAATAAGGGTCTTATCAAGCGAAATGATCAGTTATTTAAAACATAAATACAAAAGTTTAAGTTTTATAAGCACAAATGCTCAGCTTGCTCTGTTCTGTGATGCGCGTTCGTGACTCTCCTGTTCAAACTCGTTCATCAAAATGAACGAATCTTTTTTCAAGTCATGACTCAAGGGTCCTGGATAAGACCCTCATTCGTCGTCTGGTGCCGCTTAAAGCCTTTTGAAGCTGCACTGAAACTCTCATTTGGACCTTGAACCGTTTGGTTCTCATTGAAGTCCATTATATGGAGAAAATCCTGGAATGTTTTCATCAAAACCCTTAATTTCTTTTCGACTGAAGAAAGAATGACATGGACATCTTGAATGACATGGGGGTGAGTTAATTATCAGCAAAAGTTTTTTTTTAAAAGTGAACTACTCCTTTAACAAATCTTGCTGCAATTCAATATGCAATCAAATAAATAAAAAAAGTTGAACAATACCAAGGGTACAAAATACACTTTTTTTCCACACCTGCTGCAAAACAAATCTCCCATCCATAAAACTACCAGATATTTGTATTTTCACCCTGATCTGAAGGAAATAAGTCGGGTTTAATTCCTCTGTAATTTCTTCTGCATACTTCACTGTGTTGTTAGTGTCATATACACATGTTCATAAATTATTTTTAGACATTTATAGCACCTTTTCTGTAATTTTGCCATGTGTCTCTGAGGATGTGATCTGTCTTCACTGCTTGATTTATGAAAATACCCTGGAATCTCATGTGGCTTTGCCGATTCATTGAGTAACTAATGGGGAGAGCCCCACTTCTTAGGGGAGAGATGGTTAGTGTGGTCAGTGAAGCTGTGTTGAAACCTGCTGTATAGCAGTCTGTCGCAGCGTATGAAATATGTCTTTTCTGTTTCTCTCTTTCTGTCCTATCCCAGGGAGAAGATACGAGGAGCCTTAAAGTCACCCTACACAGAACATCAGGATCTCTTGGATTCAGTATCATCGGAGGAAGATTGTGTGAGGTGTGTAAGCAAACAACCTTGTAGAATATAGTTTTTTCTGTCAATGACAGAAATAGAAAGAAAATGCTATGAAATGCATGTAAAGTGTCAAGTTTGTCTTTTAACTCAACTAACCCCTCCATTGCAAGAAAGAAAAACAAAATCAGCAACTAAGCCACATGTAAAAAAGATAATTGCAGATTGCACTATTTGAGCTCCACACATTTCTCTCGAGTACACTGTGTGAAATGCGAGCGTGGGAGCCATTAAATTCTCACATAGATTGTGTCCAAGTGGAGAGGAGAGAGCAAGCTGTGGGTTTGGCTTTCACTCACATCACATTCTCTTCTCTAATCTAGTGGAGATTCACCACAGGCTGTTTACCACCTGTTCACTCCTAATGGACAGCCTCAGTTAAGCAAGTTTATCCTTGCTGTATATACATTTATGCATAGAGAGCATAGTCAGTGTACCCTTGGGTCTGGCTCATGATCCATTCAGAATTTAATTGAATGCCTTTTACATTTTAATTTAATTCCCAAAATGCTCTAATTTACTGAGCCAAACAACATGAAGTGGTGTACAAGATAAAAACAGAAAAGTCCATGAACATTTTGTTGGACTAATTAAAGTGTCTTCTGTTGTGTTACAGTTCAATTTTGTTGAATTAAAAAAAATAATAATAATCGACATACAAATCAAACAATTTATTTTTTTTGCTTTGTTTTGTTTTCGAAGGCCAATATTTGAGGCCTCCACTTCCCCTATATTTCTGTTATTTCTGCTGTAATTATATAATGATGACAAAGCTGCTTGTTTTGAGCTTCTTTAATGACAGAAACTGGGTTTTGATATATTAAAGTGCCCCTATTATACTATTTTAAAGTTTTGGAGTCTCCTACAACAGGTTTACATGCATCAAAGGTCAAAAAACTGTTTAATTTCCTCATAATATACATTTGCACATCACCACATTTTCAATGATTCTCAAACGACAAATTTCAGATGAATTTTAATAACTTTTTAATAAACTCATCACATGCTGTCCTTTGGCAGTGAAAATAAAAAACTGGCTTTACCTTCACATTGTAGAGCACAGCTTCTTCTCGACATGATGCTGTCCAGTGTCCACAGGAATCAGCTGCAGTGTTTGAGGTTCAAGTTTTCCCTGGTGTCTGCGTGCACAATAAGTGGGCGGGCAATATGCTAATGTTTCGTCTTGACGTCACAACGAAACAGCTCGAGTCTTACTTTTGAAAGACACTAACTTAATATGCGGTGCACTTTCAGATTTAAAACTTTGCTGAATGTTTTCATTCACTTAGAGCTATGTTACACACTACATGAAAGGTCATTTTCAAACATCCATAATAGGGGCACTTTAAAATGAATGTTTTCATGAAATGTAAAAAAAATAGCTATTGATTTTGAATTATTAGCTATTGATCTAAAAGTAATTGTCAGGTTTTTAATTAATTAATTAATTAATAGTTTAGACATACCATAATTCTCTATGGTCACCACCTGTCGGACAGTCTCGGAATCTAATCTGTTGCCTTGAATCCCAAATCTGGCCCTAATTGTCCCGAAAATTATACTAAAGCAAATTAAAACATTAAAAACTGTCCGAATACCTCTGAATACGCAGAGGTTTTTCAGATTTTCCGTTGCACCGTTCTCTTCGTATTTACGATTCTTACAACACGCTAGATCCTTCACTGAAACCAAAACTAACTGAATTCTTGCACCCGTGAACAATACAAGTCGACGCCACTATGACTAAAAGTTTGCTAAGTATTTCTTACTAAAGGGTATTTGAGTCTGGTCAAGCATATCCAATAAGAGCAGGCTGGTGGGAGTGGCCTTGGACAGCAACATTCCCAGTGCATTATGGGTGTTGAAACTTTCCTACCTATTTGGCAAAAGGGACGACAGTAGCCTTTTTCGTTTGTGTGTTTTCTCTTCTCAGGTAACACAGATTTCAAAAGTGTTTTCACCTTTCAACTGTACACAGAGCTAGGTTTTATTGAAAGCCAATTTTGTCAGTGCTAGCTTGTCTAATTTTCAACATTTGTTTCTATCTAAGGAACCAGAGGAGCATGAAGATTTCAGTGATGGGATCTATATATCTAAGATAGTGGAAAACGGAGCAGCTGAGAAGGCCGGACTGCATGTTCATGACAGGATCATTGAGGTTTGTCAGTGATGTGGATGAGTTGATTTTATGGGTGCAAAATGTATTTTCAAATTGCATATAGAGGTCATTTGCACAGTTTGTGAAGATTTTTCTTAGACAGGATGAAGGCCAACATGCTGGATGCAATCAAACTCGAAAGGGTCACCAAGACAACGACTAGACGGATGAAAGCCAAAGTAGATAGACATCATACCGCTAGTCTGAGCTCCTCAACTGGTCCCAATGTTTTCACAGTCTGTCTGTTAGATTTGTCAGATCTAGTCAGACTAACAATGTTGGCGCCATTGTAGGTTGATTTCACACTGGGCAGATTCCTTTAAAAAGGGTGTTAGTCTGTTCATCCAGCAGTACTGTGTCAGTTATTCACATCTAACAGGAACAAAATGTTTCATCTAACAAAAGAGAGCGTTGTCTATACGGGCACATACCAATGACAACACAACATCAAGATTTAGTAGCTTGTAAATATCAACAAAAGAGCAAACAAAACCTCATCTCGCATTGAATGTCTAAGAAAAAACCCACGTTTTTATCGAGTGGCCTCTTATACAAGCAGAGCAGGGCAGAGCATGATGATTTCTTTCTTGACTCACTTTGTCTCATGTGGGCTCTTTGCTGTCTGTCTGACGTGATGAACATAACAATGGCAGTAGAGCCTTTTGAAATCTGTGCATCACACCAGAGTTGTTCCCCAAAGAATGCATGATACAACTGCTAGTTTCAAAGAGGATGTCAGCCATGGAGCTTTTGTGGTGGTCTCAGGGCTCCCCTTTATAAACTGAGAAGGCACAGTTGGTTCTGATTTGTCGTTTCAAATCTGTATGATGTGTTTGTCATGACATACAAAAAGAGAAATGATACATTATATTAATAAAAACGAGTTATTAGTGATGCACGATATATCGGCCAGCATATCGGTATCGGCCGATATTTGTTCATTTTTATGTTATCGTTATCGGCCCGATAATAAAATTTGGCTGATATATTAAAGCTGATAAATAATGAATTATTTCCTTCAACACTTGAGACACTTAAGATGTGCACTGTTCAACAAGATTGATCTTAATTGCTTGAAATATAATTGGAATCAAAAAGGAAAATATAATTAAGGGCAAAATGTGCTGTCATATCAGCTACATGAAATTATAATGAGAACATTATAATTGTGTGATTGGGAAATGGATTTTAATTGTGAGACTTTTGTTTGTGCAATCAGGCTCTCAAGAATTATATTTCGATTTATCGGCCGATATATCGGTTATCGGCTTTCAAATATAAAGAATTATCGGTTATCGGTATTGCCCAAAATGTTCACATTGGTGCATCCCTACAATTTATATGACTTCTGTGCTGTATTTAAGGTTTTCTGAAGTCATAAGATTTTCCATAAATAATACACAGCTATTGTACAGTGCATTGAATGCTTGGAATATAGCTCACAAAGTCAAATAAACGTCCTCGGGTTACGACTGTAACCCTTGTTCCCTGAGAAGGGAACGAGAACTGCGTCCAAGTGACACTTTGGGGGAACGCCCCTCAGCGTAGCGTCTCTGAAGCATGAATGAAACTAAGCCAATCTCCGATTGGATCAACGTGATGACGTGATGTGTGACGACACATAGGCGGAAGCATATATAAGGAACCGGCACACACAACATGTCAGCTTCTGTGATGAAGCAAGCGCTCCCAGGCAGGGGAAGGCGTGGCCACGAGACGCAGTTCTCGTTCCCTTCTCAGGGAACAAGGGTTACAGTCGTAACCCGAGGACGTTCCCTATCGAGGGAACTCAAACTGCGTCCAAGTGACACTTTGGGGGAACGAGTACCCACTACGCCACAACGCGCCCTGCCTGTCCTGGTGTGAAGCTGCTCACAGGCACACTCAGGACGCGAGCACAAGAGAGCCGGGTGTCGACGGAATGTCTAAGCTGTAAAACCTAATGAAGGTATGTGGGGTAGCCCATCCAGCTGCATCGCAGACTTCCTGGATGGGGGCCCCTGCGAGAAGGGCCCTAGAGGATGCTATGCCTCTAGTGGAATGGGCCCTCACAGCCAAAGGTGAAGGCATACCGCGCACCTGATAAGCTGTGGAAATCGCATTGACAATCCAGTTGCTGATGGTTTGTTTTGAGGCCGGAAACCCCTTTTGGGCGACCCGAAACATACCAGCAACTGGTCCGCCTTCCGCCATGAAGAGGACCTCTGAATATATATCCCTAGTGCTCTGACAGGGCAGAGCCTATGAAGTCTCTCCTCATCCGCCGTCAGGTGAGGTGGGGGATGAAATGCCTGCAGAACCGTAGGCCGTGCCACATTAGATGGCACCTTAGGCAGATAGCCAGGCCTAGGGTGAAGGATGGCCTTAATGTTGCCTGGAGCAAACTCCAGGCACTCGTTAGATATGGAGAGCGCCTGAAGATCTCCCACCCTCCTCAGAGAAGTGATGGCCAACAGAAAAGCGACCTTCAGCGTTAGGTTCTTGGCCTCAGCCGACTCCAGTGGCTCGAAGGGGGCCTCAGCCAATCCTTCTAGAACTACTGCCAGGTCCCAAGAGGGAACCCTGGTACGAGCCGCAGGTCTCATCCTCCAAGCTCCACGGAGGAAACGTACGATCAATTGGTGTCTCCCCAGAGACCCATCACCCAACGGAGCGTGGAAAGCCGCAATGGCAGCCACGTACACCTTGAGCGTGGACGGGGTAAGACCAGAGGAGAAGCGATCTTGGAGGAACTCCAGCACTGAAGCCACTGGGCAGTTAACTGGGTCAACCTCACGCCTCCTACACCAATCCATAAACACATTCCACTTTAAACCATACAGTTTCCTCGTGGAGGGAGCTCTAGAGCTGAGTATGGTCTCCACTACTCCAGCTGACAGGCCGGCCTCTAGGTACTGTGCCCCCTCAGGGGCCAGACCCACAGTTTCCATAACTCCGGCCGAGGGTGAAATATTGAGCCCCCCGCCTGTGTCAGCAGGTCCCTCCTGAGGGGAATCTCCCACGGAGGGCCGTCTAGGAGCAATATTATGTCCGAGAACCATACTCGGGCCGGCCACAACGGGGCTACCAACAGTAGACTGATCCCGTCGCGACGGACCCTTTCCAGAACTCCCGGGAGCAGAGCGATCGGGGGAAATGCATACAGACGCAGCCTCGGCCACGTCTGCACCATAGCATCCAGCCCCAGTGGGGCTGGAGGGGTGAGGGAAAACCACAGCGGACAGTGGGTCGTCTCTCGAGACGCAAACAGGTCCACTTCCACAGGGCCGAACCTCTGACATATCGACTCCACCACCTCGGGGTGAAGTCTCCAATCCCCGGGCCTCAGCCCCTGTCTCGACAGGACGTCTGCTCCCTGATTTAGACTTCCCGGGATGTATGTTGCTCTCAGAGACAACAGTTTCCCCTGGGACCACAGGAGGATCTGATGCGCCAGTCTGCATAGAGGGCGAGACCTCAGGCCCCCCTGATGGTTTATATAGGCCACCACTGACATGCTGTCTGACCTCACGAGGACGTGATGACCTCTGAGGTCCGGCAGGAAGCTCCTCAGAGCCCGGGAGACCGCCAACATTTCCAGGCAGTTTATGTGCCAGGAGGAATGATGGTCCCGCCATAGGCCTGTCGTGAAGCGGCCGTCCATGACCGCGCCCCAGCCCGTGAGGGAAGCGTCTGTCGAAACGGTTTTCCGGCGACATGGCGCTCCCAACACTGGACCTTGGGACAAGAACCAAGCTTTCTTCCACATAACCAGAGAACGAAGGCATCTGCGCGTAACTCTGATTGTGCGGAACGGGTTTCCCCTCGGGGAGAACCCCTTGGTTTTTAACCACCACTGGAGGGCCCTCATGTGCAGCAGGCCAAATGGAATGATGTTGGACGCTGCTGCCATGAGTCCCAGCACTCTCTGGAAATGCTTGACAGTGACGGCTTGGCCTAGCTTTATCCCAGCCACTGTGGCCAGAATGGACTCGACTCGCGCAGGCGACAATCGTGCCCGCATTACGACCGAATCCCATACCACTCCCAGGAACGTAGTCCTTTGGGCTGGTATCAACACGCTCTTCTTCGTGTTTAGTCTCAACCCCAGTTTCTGGATGTGGGCAAGAACAACATCTCGATGCTGAACCGCCAGCTCTTGAGACTGGGCCAAAATCAGCCAGTCGTCTATATAGTTGAGCACCCTGATGCCCTGGAGCCTCAGAGGTGCTAGAGCTACATCCATACATTTGGTGAATGTGCGGGGAGAGAGAGCTAGGCCGAATGGAAGAACCCGATATTGGTACGCTTCGCCCCCGAAAGCGAACCTCAGGAACTTCCTGTGGGATGGAAGGATGGATATATGAAAGTATGCGTCCTTCAGATCTATCGTGACGAACCAATCCTCGGATTGGATCTGACTCACGATCATGGGAATAGTGAGCATCTTGAACCTGAATCTCCTCAGAGAGCGGTTCAGATATCTGAGATCTATGATCGGACGCAACCCCCCATCTTTTTTGGGAACTATAAAGTAGCGGCTGTAAAACCCGGACTCCCTGTCTAGTGGAGGAATATGCTCTATGGCCCCCTTTGCCAGCAGGGAGTTTACTTCCTGTTCCAATACCCGACCCTGCGTCGGGTTGACTACAGTCCAGACCACCCCGTTGAATCTGGGTGGGTGGAACCCGAACTGCAGCCTGTACCCGTATTGTATCGTGCGCAACGCCCACGGGGAAATATTCGCTAGATTTTTCCATGCATCGAAATATTTCGCCAAGGGAACCAGGCTCTCGAGCCTGGTTTCGGGTATTAATCGGGATTCGTTCTCGACCGCCTGAAACGAATCTCCGGCAGGACTGGACCGAAAACGATTCTCGATGGGCGAACGCAATCGCTGCCCGTCCGCAGGCTCGTGGGGCGGACAAAGCAGCTTGCGATCGCTGGAAACCGATGCGTCCCGAAACGTACTTGACGGCGGAGAACAACATCGATTTCCTGCGGGCTCCGCGAGGGAGACG